TCAAGGAACAGAGCAGTCTTTTGATAGCCATACATAATACTTTCATGGTTGACTGCAGCCGTGTTCTAATAAAACTGTTAACTAAAAGAGCACACTCAGTTTGCTTGACCCTTGCTGTGTGAAACTAGTGTCTTATGTTGTTGGAGTTCCACTTCATATCTTAAATTAAGCACTGGGTGAACTTCCCTCATGTTTTGAAGTTCTTCAAGTTGTAAGCATAAGCATAAAATCCTGTTAGTTTGTTAAGGCTACAGGATTATATATAGAAAGGTCTTCCATCTGGGGGTCTGAAGCCAGGAGCTTCGTCCGAGTCTGCCACATGAGTGCAGGGTCCCAAGCGTTTGGGCCATTCTCTATTGTTTTCTCAGGCCATAAGCAGGGAGCTGCACAGGAAGTGGAGTAGCTAGGACACACACCAGAGCCCAGATGGGATACCAGTGCTTGAAGGTGGAGGAATTAGCGTGTTGAACCACCTTATTGGCCCCAGCAGCATGTATATTTGTCGTACTTTGAGCACTTGAATGATCTTCGGATTTGGGGCTGAAATTCTGAGTTCAAGTTTTATGTTCTTTGGATGTGCCTCTATCCAGAAATCAATTGTTATTTCGCTCACCTTTTTTTTTTTTAATTTGGATGTTACAATAAATGAGTTTGTTATTATACTAATTACAGGATTTTTGTCTTCCTGTAGTTGGAAGATTTGTTTTATGAACCGTTCCAGGGTCAGGGATTTTCCCCTCCTGCACCCAGTTCCTTTCCCCCACTGATTTTCTCCATTATCATTACAATAGTATAACCTTCAGAAACAGCTATAAGTCCATCATTTTGCGATTTACATGTACCCTGACATTGTAGGTATGGATAATGGCATACAGTCTAGCATCTTATTGTCAAGATACATTTGTTGCATTGGGAGTCTATCTCTGATTTGGAAGCAGAGATTCATGCTGCGTTGTATCTTCACATCTTGATATGATAGTCTGTTTTACATACTTCCTCTAGATGACTATATGTACGTGCATGTTTACGTTTGTATCTCTTGCTCTTGCATTTTACATAGGATGTTTGTCCTTTTGAGATTGATTTATTTCACTGAGCATGATGTTCTCCATTTGGGACCATTTTGTTAAAAATGGTAGAATTTTGTTCTTTTTTAATGGTAGAGTAGTATTCCATGGAGTAGATGTACCACAGTTTGTTTATCTACTCATGGGCATCTGGGTTGTTTCCATGTCTTTGCTGTTGTCGATTGTGCTGCTGTGAATATAGGATTACAGGTCCCTTTTTCATTTCCTTTGGCTATATTCCTAGAAGTGGGATAGCTGGGTCATATTATACTGATTTCCATAGTAGTTGTACTAGCCTACACTCCCACCAGCAGTAAAGAAGGGTGCCTTTCTTCCCACATCTATGCCAGCAGGAATTGTTAGTAGAGTTCTGAATGTAAGCCATTCTCACTGGAATTAACTGAAACCTCAATGTAGTTTTAATTAATATTTCTCTGAGAGCTAAGGATTCTGTTTATTTTTTCACATCTATTAGCCATTTGAATATGTTCTGTTGAAAAATTTCATTTCCTTTGCCCATTTCTTCAGAGGGTTATTTTGTTCTGTAAGTAGAGTTATGGTGTCGCCAAGCAGTGTAGGTAAACCTGTTGCATAGAAAGTGAGATTGGATCTTCTCCAGAAAGCTCCTGTCAGGCCGGTAGGAAACTTCACATTTATTCATTAAGGGTAATACTTGGCCAATCGATGAGGACCTAGATCTTGTGTCATGAGAAGCCAGTAGACCTCATATATGATGTATCTTCAGAATATGCTACTCATCTCCTTGCTAAAGAGTGATTGATTGATTTGAAAGGCAGTTACAGAAGAAAGTAGAGCAGCTGGAACTACAGTTGGTGCTCCCGTGGGACGCCAGCATCATAGTTGGCAGCTTGACGTGCCGCACCACAATGCCAGCCCACATTGCATCTTTCCACAGTGCTTCAGTGTGACTTCTGCCCTGGGGATGATTAGATCTTCTCAATCAGAAACTGCTGTGGGCAAGTGTCAGAAGGGCGTCTGATCCAGGCCACTGTTCTTAAAACTAATTCTCCATTTTGTTTTCTTCCCTTCCTTCTCTTTCCCTTTTCCTTTTTTCCCCCTTCCTTATGCTTTGTTTCTTCCTTTTCCTCTTTCTTGGAATTGTAGAGATAGAAATCTGCCTGATTACCTCCCCAGACTTCCCCCTGGGATCTCTGTCCTGCCCACAGCAGGAGCCAGTGCTCAGTGCTAGGCCTCACACATGGTTGTCATGGACACAGTCCTGACTCAGCAGCAGTTAACTTTTAGGCTGTGCGTAAGCAGAAAGCAAGAATGTGAAGTGAAGCTGGGGTTTGAAACTCAAGAACTATGATGGGGACTGTGAACATCATTAATTGCTTTGTCAAATGGCTGTCCCCAAATCAGGCCTCTTGATGGAATCTATTTTGGCCTTCCCTCCATTATTGTCAACATAATGAAATTTCCATGGAATCTCAGCTTTATGCATAATATAAATACTAGTAGTCATGTTGCTCATTCTTTCTCATTTGTATTTAGCTGTGAATCTAAAAATAATTAACATCTGTCTGAAAAGGAGAGATTGTTCATTGATCAGAGATTTCCTTAATATTGCTTCTATTTTTGTTACTAGTATTTGGAGATCTTAGGACCACCCACAGGTTCAGTGTTTCTGAAAGATACTTCTGTCCTAATTTGGTAGTCACTGTCATGCCCATGACTTCCTGCCAGGGGCAGGTGTACAAAACTAAAGGGGTGGAATAGAGTGGAAGAATCGAGGTGCAGTGCTCCCCTGCTGGACTAAGTCGATCTGAACTGATTTTTCTGCCAATGAATTTGTGACATTTTATGTGCCAGAGAAACTCACTGGACATTTAGTGCATAAGACATCTCTTGCATGTAACCAGTTATGAACGCATACTAGGCCTAACATGTACCAAAATTTCAATCGTGAGTTGGAAAGCTATGTTCAACACAGACCGTATTGTGTACACAAAGAGCATAAGCACAGCAAGCAGTGGGAACTCTTTTTGAAGTTCCTTTCCTGCTCAGGGCCAGCCATGCAAGCAGGCCTTTCTGTGGTAGCAGTGTTAAGTCCATTCTGTTGCCTGTAGACACACTGAACTTATTTTGATTGATCATAATTTTTTTAAAAAGATCTATTTCATTGCAAAGGCAGCTATACAGAGATGAGGAGACAGAGGACAAGTTCTTCCGTCCGATGATTCACTCCCCAAATGACCACAGCGGCCGGTGCTACGCCAGTCAGAAGCCAGTTGCCAGGAACTTCTTCTGGGTCTCCTACATGGGTGCAGGGTCCCAAGGCTTTGGCCCATCTTTGACTGCTTTCCCAGGCCACAAGCAGGGAGCTGGATGGGAAGAGGAGCTGCCAGGATTAGAACTGGCGCTCATATGGGATCCTGGTGCGTTCAAGGCAAGGACTTGAGCTGCTGGGCAACCACTGGGGGCCCCCCCCCCTTTTTTTTTTTTAATTTGTGAGGCAAAGGAGATGAAGACAAAGCACCTGTCTGCTGGTTCACTTCCCTAACTGTATGCAATGACTGGTGCTGAGCTAAACAAGAGCCAGGAACAACTCAACCGTAGTCTCGTGTGAGTGACAGGGACCCAAGTCAGCTCTCACTGACTGTCTTCCACTCTGTGTGTGTTGCAAATTGAAATCAAACTGCCAGGACTTGAATCTGGGGGCTCCAGATGGGGGTGACAATCCCAGCAGACATCTTAAACACGGAATCAAGCACTTGCCTCAGATCTCTTCTTGATTGTGTTTATTACAGTGCTTACTCAAGGTTTTGTTTATTGCCTGCTGTATGAAAGGGGTTTATATAAATAAATCCTATAAAACAAGATAAGTAGAAGCAGCCATTAGGCATTTCCAAGGACCAGGCTTCTTGGGAAATCGATGTTTTGTACCATCTGTGTTGTTTTCTAAGTAGCCATTACATGTGTTTAAGTGTTCCTCCTCAGGATCCCTCCCAGTGAAGGGGGCATCCAATGATACCAGTAGGCTTCTGGAGCTTTGAGTCTGCATATTCTTACTTAGAAGTGGACCCATCTTCCGTCTTGGCTGTTGCCATTCTGTATTTCATTTGTGAGCTCATGGTGCTTGTGATTGCGCAGCAAAATCAATCTTCTGCTTTTGCTCTCTAATGGGAAAAAACTTGCAAATTCACACATGGGTAGTCTTTCTCCAGGAATCTTAGTTTGATCTGAATCTCTTGACCATTTCTGCTTGGATCATCTGGAACCTTTCTAGTCGTCTTCTCTTACCCATTTTGTTTTTTCTGTTGACTGAAATAATTCCTAGTAATTTCTACTCTTTCACTAGTTCTGACTCCTAGTTCATAAACCAGTGGACCATTTTAATTACTCTCCTACTTTCAATTTGGCTTCATTTGTTCTAAAGTAGGAGTATTGATGAAAGCCTCTAGATGTGTACAGTGGCTTTGAGGAACTTTAGGCTTTCTGTACCATTGCCCAGTTTCTGCAAAGCCTGCACTTGGAACTCTTCTTTGAGCACTCTTGAAAGTTTAATGTTGTTTTAGTGAAAAATTGACAAGACTGTTAAAAAGCAAGTTAGAGAAACTGCAAGAAATGGAAGGGTAGTTGAAAAAACATTAATAGAAGCACCTTTGAGAACTGGATCATTGAACTTTTACTCCCTTTTCTCCGTCTGCATTGTTTCTTCCAGTAAAAATTTTCTTTATAGATTTCTACAATGTCTACTTTTTATTAATTACAAGACCTAGTACCTTGTTCATCTAATTATAAATGTCATATTTCTGTAAGTTATCAGCTATATAGCTTAAAGCTGCATCTGTACTAGACTCAGATGTGTGCATTCCTGATGCTTATGCATAATATTGATCTGCAATATGTTTAAAAAAAACAGATGGAATACAATTTATTTGTATTCATGTTGCTTTTTATTTTTTTAAGGGACCAGTTACTCTCCACAAGAAAACTCACACAACCACAGTGCTCTTCATAGTTCAAATTCACATTCTTCTAATCCAAGCAATAATCCAAGCAAAACTTCAGATGCAGTAAGTATTAATACACATGCCCAATTTTATTTTGGGAGAATTGGTTGCAAACTTCTGATAGCAAGACTCCTTACATCCAGTTTGTGTTTTTAGTCCAGCTCAAGTTGACCTTTCCTTCATGTGTTTGATAAAATAATACTGTTTTAAACTAATGGATGATGGTAGAATTGAGGAGCGCCGATAAATACCATCTTGGTATAACCTCATCAATACTGCTGTACTAAGAAAAGTTTTATCTTTGCAGTATGTGAATTAAAAAGAAATTCAGACTTAAGCTTCCGTAATTAAAGTAGTTTTAACTAAAGTAATTGTTACATTCATTTTTTTTAATTGTTCAGGTTAAACAGATTTCCAATGTTTTTATTTCACCAGAAATAATTTAAAGTTTGAATATAAAGATTTATTTATTTTAAAGACAGAGAGAGGCAGAGAGTAAGTTTATGCAGTAACTGGGGCTGGTACAGGCTGAGCCCAGGAATCTGGAAACCCAGTCCAGGTCTCCTATATGGATGGTGGAGTCTCAAGGACTTGGGGCCAACTTCTGCTACTCTGTCGAATGCATAAGCAAGGAACTGGATCAGAAGTGGGGCAGTGAGGACTGAAACTGGCAGTCATGGGATGGCAGTGTTGAAGTCAGTGGCTTAACCTGAACCACAACGATGAAACACCCAACTTAGAGGACTTGTGGAGACAGAAAAGTGAAAAACACAGTGCTTGTTAAAGTAGCTCTGGGAAGCACTGAGGGTAAGGACTCCCAGCTTGGATGGGGAAAATAGTAAAATGCAATGAAAGCTTTTTGACTGTTGAAGGGCCTCAGCCAGTAGAGTTGGTGTGTCTGGACATTGTGTAGCATAAAGCAAAAGAACATTGACACAGAGTATGAATTAGAGCATGTTTGGAGAACCTTGAGGATTTAATAGGGTAGAAAAATGGCAGGAGCTAAGTGCAGTTTAGATTAAATGGAATGTTTCATGAACTTTGCATGTCATCTTGTGCAGGGGTCGTATTAATCTTCTCTGTACTGCTCCAATTTTAGTATAGGTGCTGCTGAAGTGAGCACATAAAAAAGTCTTGTCTTGTTGAGGAATACAAATTTTGTGCAAAGATGTTGAAGGATATAAGCAATAAATTAGCAGGCTCACAGTTACAGTAAAAAAAAATTGTTTGAGGTGGCAGTATGGAAAATTGTAAGAAGCAATCATTGGAAAATGGTGACAGGTACAGGTTGATTTAAACAGGTTTAGCTTGTGTGTTACAGTAATTATGATGCCTTATTTGGAATAGGAAGATCCTTGTTGAAATAATCTGTTAGTTTGACATCAATTAGAGAAACAAATGATAGGACCTGACATGATAGCTCAATGGTTGAAGTCCTTGCTTCTTCAGCACCAGGATTCCGTAATTTGCACTGGTTTGTGTCCCAGTGGCTCTAATTCCCGTTCAGCTTTCTGCCTGTGGCCTGGGAAAGCAACAAAGGATGGCTCAAACCCTTGGGACCCTGCACCCATGTGGGAGACCTGGAAGAAGTTCCTGGTTCCTGGCTTTGGGTAGGCTTGGCTCCGAGTGTTTTGGCCATTAGGGAAGCCAGTGGGCAAAGTTCTTTTCGCTGTCTTCCCTTCACTAACACTGAGTTTATGTCCAATTAAGGAGAAAATACATGTGTTAATGACTGGGGTGAGGGTGAAGTGAAAAACATGAGGGCTGTGTTTCAGTATCAGAAAGTGAAGATTTTTGGAACTTGATGATGTAGAGGTGCCCACAACCCTGTCTGTGGGTATCTCAGAACTGGCCCGGGTCAAGAGTTGTGGGTTCATGTTTCAGTCCTTCCTGGCAGGAAGCTGGCTGGCTAAAGAGAGCAGTTTGCTGGCCCGGCGAGATGGCGCAAGTGGTTAAGGTCCTCACCTTACACGCCCAGGATCCCACATGGGCCCAGGTTCTAATCCCGGCAGCCCCGCTTCCCTTCCAGCTCCCTGCCTGTGGCCCAGGGAAAGCAGTCAAGGACGGCCCAAAGCTTTGGGAACCTGCACCCATGTGGGAGACCCGGAAGAGGCTCCTGGCTTTGGATCGGCATAGCATCGGCTGTTGCGCTCACTTGGGGAGTGAATCATCGGATGGAAGATCTTCCTGTCTGTCTCTCTTCTCTGTATATCTGCCTTTCCAATAAAAATTCTTAAAAATAAATCTTTAAAAAAATAAAAGCAGTTTGCACCACTGAGCACACACTTGAGGGGTGTGGTTAAATCTAAGGTAATAGCAAGGTAGATTTCACAGGTAGCTACCATCAGTCCATTTACAAGTAGTCATTAGAATGAATTTTTTTTTTAATGGAAAATGGCCTGTTAATTTACAAAGTGACTCCTAAATTTTTTCTGATCAAAAATTGAATCAGAGTTGGAAAGGGAAAGCAAGACAAGGGAATTTTAACCTGCTGGTTCACTCGCCTGTATTGTAATAGCCCCTGTGGTTGAGTCAGGCCAGAGCCAGGAGCTTGCATTCTGGTGTCAGTCTTTGGACAAATGTCAGCAGAGGCTGGGTGTAGGGCAGTAACTGGGACTTGAACTTGCACTTCATTTGGAATGCTGGTGTTCAGGTGGCGTCTGTACTGCAATGCCTGCCTTCAGCCTAACTTATATAACTGACGATTCAGGATTATTAAGATATGTCCATTGTCAGGACAGTGATATCCAATGTGGACATTGTTTTGTGGGGCAAAATATAATTCAGGGCCTCAGTAGCTGTTTTATTTATTATTATTATGTTTTAGAGCAGCAGTTGATTTTTTTTTTGAGATCTGTTATTTATATGCACTCTCATCAATATTGTAGTATTAAAAATCAGTTAGGTAGTCCGTCTACCTTCAGATCTGATGAGAAGCTTTATCTCCCTCCAGCATCAAGGTGTTAAGGAGTTTCTCCCCCAATCCCACTGGTTCAGATCTTGGTTGTTCTACAGTGCACCTTAGGCATCCGTTGTTGGCTCAAGTAGTTGGCTGCTTGTCCCCAAGCATGGTAGAGCTAAATTGAACTGGAAGATAACATTGCAGACATTTGGGGGAGTGGACCAGTTGATTGGCATGTCTGTCAAATAAATGGATTAAAATTTTTTGAAGAGGTTGGTGCGGTGGCCTAGTGGCTAAAATCCTTGCCTTATGGGCACCGGTTCTAATCCTGGCAGTTACACTTCCCATCCACCTCCCTGCTTGTGGCCTGGGAAAGCAGTCAAGCATGGGAGACCCGGAAGAAGTTCCTGGTTCCTGGCTTCAGATCAGCACAGTACCGATAGTTGTGATCACTTGGGGAGTGAATTGTCGGATGGAAGAACTTATCCTCTGTCTCTCCTCCTCTCTGTATAACAACTTTCCAATAAAAATAAATTTTAAAAATTTTTTTTAAAAAATTGAGGGATTTTTAAAGTACTGATCACAAAACCATTAGACATTGAGAAGTGCCTATTTAGAATTTTCATGTCTGCTTCCATAGTTGCTCTTAGTAAGCTCTATAGCCTTGTGGTAGATGAAGACAAAACCATCTTGGTATTACAATGAAAATAGTTTATCATGTGAGCAGACCTCAGGGTACTCCATGGTTTTTCGGGTAACACTTGGAAAAATTTTTTACCCTAGAAATGGTTGTAGCCTGTTTCCAACTTGAGATAATTGTTTTAGCAAAAATTGAAATTGATACTTGATGCCTACCAGTTTCATCAATTATCTGTTACATGAGTGTTCTTAACTCCTTGAAGCTGGAAGTTGGGACAAGATTGGCTGGAGTTAGGAGTATTTTATTGTAATGCTGTACCCTGGAGCATTGATTATAGCTTGTACTAACCTAGGATATGTAATGCCATAGGCCAGAAGTCTGCAGGCTTCTGGCCTGTAAACTATTAGTGTGGAAGTTGTGCCAGAGAGAGTGTGTTGATGCAGACTCCTTATCTCCTGTGTTTGCAAATGGTCACTTTGAGAAGTACTGGTCTAGATTAACACTCTCCCTCCCAGTATCTTCTGTGTGCTGGCTTTAAGTCTTACTTTCTGCCCTCTGACCAATCCAGTAACTCCATATAGCCAAGCAGAGCCAATTTTCAAGATAACCTCTGTAAAAGAGCGATCATTTTGCACAGTTAAGGTATGGGAAGGAAAGTGGGTGATGGAGAACTTGGTGAATTTGGCCTCTGTGATTGGCCTACCAATTTGGTCAAAGCTTATTTCTGGCTGCTGATGACTAAGAATCAACTCCCCACTGCTGTTACAGATCAGGAGGCACTGGGCTGACGCCCTTATTTTTAGGCGTAAACTTTGAGAGAACATGTGTGGCAGAGTCTGTAGCATTTTTCCAACTGCTCTCAGAATTGTTAAGGCATTTCCAGAATTGGTGTCCAATAAGAATAAATTGCACTCAGAATTAGTTTTCTGACCTATGGACAACCTAAGTTCTCTCAATATGTTTCCTTGCTGGTGAAATTAAAACCTGGGTAGAACAATTGGGTGACTCAGAATTGGCTTCTCAGACTTCACAGTTGTGTCACTTTGGGGTAACCTGCATCGCTGTGTCTGGCACACATGTGTCTACTACCTGCCTCTGCCTCCAGCTGCGTATGGGTTTGGGGCTGCTGCAGGCCATTTGGGAGGGAGCCAGCAAATGGGCAAGCTCTCTGTGTGTGTCTCACAGATGGTCAGATTTCTAAAGACAAAATTGTGTCTTTACACACTGTTAAAACCAAAAGGTCAGGCTGACAGTGTAACATTACTCAGTTTTGGTCTTGCACCTCTTGAGAAGATAAAGATGCTTCAACATCTGTGGTGACCTTTCCCAGCAAGTCACTGTACTACAGGCAGTTTGTTTTGTTACACTATATGTAATTATTATGCCACAGAGTAAAATCCCCCCTTCCATATGCTGTTGGATTTCAGTATTTATTAAACTTAGGGCAATTGACTTCTTTAACTTTTACTAGAGATTTTGGCTTTGCATATTTTGTTGTGACTAGTCTATTTAATTTTGATATTTTAAATAGGGTTTCTGTTATGTATGAAGGCTTTTGGGCTAAGATGTAATATTCATTTTAGTAGTTAACAGTCTAGAGCAAGGTACTTTTTATCAGAAGTCTTCCCATGTGTACACTTTGGCAACTATTGACATTTTTAAACTACTAAATAGCATTAACATTTTCTAATTTTTAAAAATCTGTTTTTAAGCCTTACGATTCTGCAGATGACTGGTCTGAGCATATTAGCTCTTCGGGGAAAAAGTACTATTACAACTGCCGAACAGAAGTCTCACAGTGGGAAAAACCCAAAGAGTGGCTTGAAAGGTATTTTTAATTTCCGTATCATGACATCCATTATTTCTCTTCTTAATTGTAATAGTTGATGTGTTTATTGTTTTCTGTAATTTCTCTTAAATTTAGAGCACATAGCAGCTATCCATAAGGTCCTATGAGCAATTAGCATATTCAATAAAATACTTACTAATCTCCATTTGTGCATCTCTTATAATAAAGATCCTTGTCGTTTTTATGGGACAGTTGTATTCATGTTTCTTTCACCTTTATAGTATGAGGTTATTCCATTAGGTGTTTAAATAAGGGATATAATTTTTCCATAATGAAGAAAATGTGAGTGTTCTATGCACTCATCTCCTGTACCAGGTGAATTGCAGACCACATTGAGTTCTTTGGTTTTCTGTTTACCGTTTTGTTCAATATTTGGCTGGAGTAATGTGGAGACCCATGTCCTTGATGTGATTTTTATACACTGCTCTATTTTTTCTTCTTATTTTTAGAGAACAGAGACAAAAAGAAGCAAACAAGATGGCAGTTAATAGCTTCCCGAAAGATAGAGATTACAGAAGGGAGGTGATGCAGGCAACAGCTGCTAGTGGGTTTGCCAGTGGAAGTAAGTATTAATTTTGTCTCTGAAGCATTGTAATATTTGATTTATTGCTGTCAGTCATAAATTTTTAAATCTGTATATTTCCACTTACATAGGTAATGCAGTTTCTATATGTTACCTGTCCAGTATCTCTGTTCTTGAAAAGTAAAAGGATACACATAGTGCAGTATGTATTTCTCACTGCCCATTATGATTATGAAGAAATGGTAAATGATAAAATTTTGGGTTTTGGATCGTCCTAAACAGGAGAATCCAAACACAAAAACACAAGAAAACCCAGTGAAGTTCAATTCAGTAATTGAATCGTAAGCATTGCCATGGTGGCTCTTTAGTCATAAAAAGTGGCTGTTTGTTATCCATGAGAAACTTAATCTATTTCTGTGTAGATGGTTGAACTTGGAATTTTTTATTTTATAAGCAGCCTCAGTGTATACTCATAACCATTTTGTTTTTGACTTTTCAGTATATTTAAGAAAGTACATGAGATAGACAGCATTGTATTCTAAAGTAGGCCTTGTATTAGATGATTCCCCAGCCCCCACTTTTAAGTGTTCTAAGCATGTTTAAGATGGCCTAGGCAAAGCAGTGATTTTGGTAAGTTGAATGTTAGTGCATTTTTAATTTAATGATCTTTTCAGCATGGCCTGTTTATCAGGATATAACCCTTCTGTAAATGGGATGAATCTGAATGTGGAAACACATTCCTCCATGATCCTAGGTCTGACATCTCTGCAGTTTATGTAGCCAAACAGGTTCCCGCTGGAAACGTTTTCTAGAATCTTTTTGTTCTGAGGTGCTTTTTAATTCTAGGCATACCTGACTGTTCTTTTGAATGATGTGAATTCAAATTTTGAATTTTTTGAATTTTTTAAAGGATGTGTTCTGGAAATTCTTAGACTTCAGTATTTGAGTTGTGCTGTAACTCAGCAGTGTAGGAGTGTTTGGTCTTAGCTAGATACTTTGACTCTTTGATGGAAAAAATTTCTTAAGATGAAACAGTTCCATGCTTAAGGTTTAAAATGTATGTTTCTTGGAACATTAAAACTTTATTAGTGAAATTATACTTAGTTCTTAGAAAACATTGATTTAAAGTAACTCAGGAAGTTAAAGAACATCATATTTTGTGACACATCGTGTTTTGTTTTTAGTTCATGGGCAGGGAGCTGGATAGTAGCAGCCAGAACTTGAATTGGCACCTATGAGGGATGCTAGTTTTGCGTGTGGCAACTTTACCTGCTATGTCACAGTGCTGGGCACAACATAGTATACTTTATTTTTCAAGAAATTCATTATTTCTTAAGTTCCCCCCCCTCCCCTTTTTTTTTTACAGTAAGCAAAGGAAGAAATTATAATAGATATATGACAGAAAGTGAAAATAAGTATTTTTATACTTTGAATTTATCTGTATGCGGGTTTTTTTTTTTCCATTCAGAAACTCCATAGTTTTATTTTGGAGTTTTTTGTTTTGTTTTGTTTTGTTTTGTTTTTAAACCATGTATTTTCATGGTTTAAAAAAAAAAATTGGTCATTTGAAAGCAGAGTTACATAGAGAGAGGTCCAGGTTGGAGCCAGGTGCTTCATCCCAGGGTCATGGGAGTGGCAGGAGCCCAGCCGCTTGGACCGTATGGCATGTCTCTCCCAGCAGTGTTGGAAATGGAGGAAGCTAATGGCACAGGCCAGCTCCCTCATCCTGATTGCAGATTACATTTTTATTACAAAATTAAACGAGAGGTAAGGTTCTCTTTTTTTTTTTTTTTTTTAAACCCTGGGACCCAGTAGTATTTTAGGATGTGTGCTTTTTTCTGTGTGCATATAAATCTATGTAGAAATTACCTACATTTGTATTTTATGTCAAAGATGGGATAATGTATTACTGATTTCGACCTGTTCATTTTTCAGTCATCTTTCAGGCCTGTGTTTACATCTTTCTTTGTAGTTCTGTATTTGTTGTGTTGTCCGACTAGCATTGCACTAATCTGATATACTTCATTTATAAATACCCTCTGTGCAGGGGTACTTGTGGTTTGGATTGTGGTTCTTATGTGCCTACTTAACCTGATTTACAAATAAAGAGTTAGCAGGTCTGAGGCTGTGTCAAAGTTTGGATAATAACTCTTGGTATTTTAAAGTTCTTGAGAAAAGACTTTGTTTCTTCATTCTTGTTTGCTTTTTCATGATCAGCTAAGCTAATGGTTGTGGATTTGGTAATGGTCAGTAAGCCATTTAAATTCTGGGTTTTGACTATCAGATGTGGTAGCAGTTTCCATGTGTGTTCAGCTTGTTGGTTTCTGTAGGGTGTTGGTTAGAAGTGAGAAATGTTAAGAGATGGGGAAGGATTGGGAAGATTTATTAAGTTTGCAAAGATATGTTAGTGCATTTGGTGAATAAAAAGTTGACTTCTGTGTCTGCCTTTTAGAGTGAGTGCTGTGTATTGCAAAGCCTTGTTGCGGCTCCTCCTGGCCTCAGTGGCATTTTGAGTCCCTCAGCAATTCTGTGTTGTGGAAGCTGTCTCGCCTTGTAGGTGTTGAACAGGATGTCGGACCTGCACCTGCTAGGTGCTGGTAACTGTAGTGTATCCCCAGGGGCCATGTAGGGACTTTGACTTAACAGTCTCATTGTGCTATCTAGACTTGTAATAGCTTCCAGGGGCCTTGTAGTGCTGTTGTGCACCCTCCCCCATTTGTAATGCTTAGCAGCAATTGAGGTGTCATTTTTAATGTATCTTGAGAATATTCTTTAATCAGATGAACTGAAAATTAAATTTTCCCGTTTAAGTAAAAGTTGTGGGTAGTGAAGTGGTGCGGCTGGGTTGATACTTAAGTTGTTTCTTTTTCTAGAAGCTTTTTTTTTTTTTTAATTGTAATAGTAGTTCGTATTCTTTTTGCACAAATCAACTATGGAATAAAGTTTTGAGAGTTAGCTTACTGATGTGCAGGCATTCCAGGCATTATAGGCTGAGCTAGTTGTCTGCTGATTTCATATTAAGTCATTGGCCAAAAGAGCTTGCATTTTGATGTGATTGCCATTTCTTGACAGTAACCTGGGATAGTAGTTGTGTCTGACAACTTGAGTGGACTTGTATAGTGAGTGTGCTGTCGTCTTTGTGCTATGTTCTTCACAATTAGTTTGGGATAGACTTGTAAACTTCATGTGATTGCTCACATTTTCCTTTCTACAGTGGTTTTCATTAAATTGTGGATTAAGATTGTGGTGCTTATTGCTGAGTTTTAAGGTTTGGTTTTTTGCTTGAGTTTGGCTTTGAATTCAGAGAAATTCTGTTTGAGTATAGTTGGTGATACTGATTTCCCTGTAGGGTCTGTCTCTGTTTTCATAAAGTGTTATCTGTCATAATTTTGTTGCTCTGGATTTGTCAGCATTAAGAATTCTGAATTGGTTTACGTACCGACTGGTTTGTTCGGTTGTCTTCAGTGAGATCATTTGAGCTCTGGCATATGCTACTTTAGAAAACCACTGGTTTTGTATCTTAGCATTTAGAAGGATCAGGTTGATAAAAATTTTCTTTGCAGTTGAACATTGTGTATAATTCAGTTGTAGAACTTACAGTTTAGATGTTACAGAAAGAAGCAGTTCTGTTTTTAGAACATTAAAATTCTTGAGTGAAATGTTACCCCTCCAGATACTGATTTCTTTTAAATGTTTTTATATGCACTATAGTGTGGTTGTAAAGAATCATGAGTGGCCCACCTTGAGTATAGATTGATATTTATAGTTGAGTAAAAATTTTTTGTTTTACTATTTATATAGCAGTGCTAAAACTGCATGAACTAAAAATGCACAAACTAGGCTTGTACTTTTACTGAAAGATATGTAACAGTGTTTGCTAAATCAACTGATGTTAAAGAAAGGATTCTAATGTCATCTTTTTTCTTCTCCTTCTGTCATTCCAACATCCTTTTTCGAACTGTGAACTAAAGTGGAAGACAAGCATTCCAGTGAAGCCAGTAGTTTGCTCCCACAGAATATTTTGTCTCAGACAAGCAGACACAATGACAAAGACTACCGACTGCCAAGAGCAGAGACTCACAGTAGTACCACGCCAGTACAGCACCCCATCAAGCCAGTGCTTCACCCAGCTGCTACCCCGGGCACTGTTGTTCCTTCTAGTCCATTTACGCTGCAGTCCGATCACCAGCCAAAGAAATCATTTGATGCCAATGGAGCATCTACTTTATCAAAACTGCCTACACCCACATCTTCTGTCCCTGCACAGAAGACAGAAAGAAAAGGTATGCACACTGCTACTAAATGCTGCTCGATGACTAGAGTTTGTGCTTTTTTCCATTATTTCCTTTGGCTTAAACAAGATTTTGATAGTTTTCTAGAATGTTACTGCCAAGACTTAAGTCCATAGTTAGCTGTACTGTACTTTCTTATGATTATCAAGCTTCAAAGCCATTTTTCCCATTGACATTGCTGTCAGATGCTTGATGTGTAACATGTGTAATTTGTCAAGTGACTGTCACTTTATATTTGTGTAAAATAATCTTATAACCCTGAAAGTGTAGAAATTGTCCTAGTTTTCTGCAGAAACTTACTATAAACAGAGACATCTTGGTTTTATGTAACATGAAGTCCTTGGATTCATTTTGTAACTCATGAATCACAAGTTAGCATCTGAATTGGGTTTCAAGTTTGCTTGGAAATGAAGCATTGCTGTACAAATTGCATTTGTCCAATTCAGTGTTAAAATCATAGCATGTTTGGAAAAGAATTGTGGCAACAACTACTTGGGATGTGAAAGCTGAGTAATAAGTATATTTGCATAAACCAGTTACTCTCCCAGACTTGTACTTCACAGCAGTTTAAGAAATTTAAGGACATTAAAAGGCAATAAACAGGTAGTTCATGGTTAGGCCCCTTAGCAGACCATTTGTAAGTGCTCAACAGTTTCTGAAATGCTTGAGTTTAGAGGGTGCTGACTTTTTAAAGCCCTGCCTATTGTTAGATGCACTGCTTTGGATTGTTGGCAGAGCTTCACGTAGCTGCTTTGTTTTGCCTTTGGTTTTCTTTGCTTGTGGCTGCTGTTTGACTTTCCCCTGTGCTACAGCAGTTGTGTTTTATAGTACGAAGCTCTTTTTCTTTATTACACAATGTAGAGTTAAATCATACAGGCTAATACTTGTTGCAAATGTTTTCAAAATCCTTAAAGGTGGTTTGTACCAAAATTGATGGGCAAAGCAAATTCTTGAGAGATAAAATACAAATCAATATGTTAATAAATTTTTGCAAAGGATGGTTTGAAATTTTTTTTTTTCCTTTTTTAAGGTCCTATAATTTTCTTTGATTATCTGGTTATAGAGGAAGTTATTTTATAAAAGTCCCCATCGGTCTGTTTAAGTGTTGAGGCCTTCAGAAGTCTCTTAACGTTTCTCGGCTGCTCACCCAACACTTGCAGCTCTTCCTGTCCTTCGGTTACCTAGTTCTGGTCTCTTCCATAAACAGCAGTATGAGTACTTTTCTGCCCTAACGTGGCCTCTTGCTTCTGTTACAGCCTCCATGTCTTTGGTTCTGTCTAGTTCACATTCTTGTTTAGACTTCTATATGCTGTATCATACAGTGTCCCAAATTCCTTTCTGTGCACAGTTCACCCTTAGGTCCTCAGGAACTGATTAAGAATGGACGTGTCACGCAGTAGCCTTCAGATAACTGGCACTGCCCCATCCGCTCACTGCAGTATCACCACTGTAGAATGTAGATTGTGTTCTGGTGCTTCATTGCTACAAGCCATGCCCCAGTGTAAGAAGTGGGTTTCCCTGATTGGATCCCTTGCACATATTCTTGGGACATGTTAACCTTCGGACAGGTTCCCTGCATTTGCTAAATGCAAAGACATGTCCTTATCTGTTGAGTCCTTATCTGACTCTTCATTAGCAGTCCACATCACACATCCTTCCAGTTCTTACTGTCAGCTTACCTCTCCCAGTCGTCTCCCAAGCACTTGGTGCTTTGTCTATTTTAGTACTTACAGCATTTTTTTAGTTTTTACCAGCAGTTACATTTAGACTGGACATTGTGTTTTGCTGCATTTTGTGCTGTGCTTGTCTTATTTCCCTCCTCCTCCTGGCTTTAGTCACCATTCCTGACAACCTTAAGTAAATGTGAATCAGCGTTTGTGTCCGTTATTTTACATATACTTACAGTATTTCCTTGAGACATTTGAAGCCAGGATCCAGGAGCTCCTTCTGGGACTCCCACATGAGTGCAGACTCCCGAGGACTTGGGCTGTCCTCCTCTGCTTTTCCAGGTCATATGCATGGAGATGGAAGGGAAATGGAACAGCCAGGACATAAGTCAGCACTCTTACGGGGTGCTTGCATTTGCAGGTGGAGAATAAGATAGTTGAGCCATCATGCCAGCCTCTCTCTTCCTTCCTCCCTCCCTCCCTCCTTCCTTCTTTCCTTCCTTCCTTCCTTTCTGTTGATGTGTTCCACTTGTTGCAGTTACTCTGAATTTGAGTGTTCATAAACTTGCCACTCATTTTTTTCCTTCAGTGACAATGTTATTAATGTTAGCCTTTCTTTTGACTCCTTATCTTCATTACTATTATTATTCCTTTATTTATTTGAAAGAGTTTTACTGAGAGAGTAATCTGCTTTTCCCAACCTGTTAGCAGTGACCTGGATCAGAAGTGAAGCAGCCAGGATGGGAACTGGTGCTCATTAAGAGATGCTGGCATCGCAGGTAGTGGCTTTAGGTGCCAGTCCAAACTCTACTCATGGTCACAGGAATTTTCCCTAACAATATGTTAAAGTATAATGGTTCAAGTCAGGTTGGTCAGTCGATTTTAAAGTGATAGTAGTATAATAAAGTACTAACAGTGTCATTGGTAGCAAGTTTTATAAAATAATAGAAGAGTCTTACCACTGCTTCTATCCCCACTGCTTGGCTCATGACAGGTGGTAACTGTGATTAGTGACAGATGGATTGAGGAAGGCTATGGAAGCTCCTGTGTAGGTTATGGTTTTAAAAATATGTTTGAAAAGAAAGAATCTTTTTCTCTCCAGTTAAAGGATCTCAGCTGGGCATGGACAGGGGTTTAATGCTGGCATGTCTTGAAAGAAAGAACCTAGGAGAAGCTCAAGAATCTGTGCTTGCTTCAGGGACAGTGCGGGATAGTGCCTGTGGAGCCCGTTACTCGGAAGGAGAGCACTCCTGGGGTTGGGGTCAGAGCAAGAGATCAGAGTGCCCCTTCGATCTTCTGCCTGTGTGGTAGTTGAGAGTCTGTGGGCAAGAGCCATCACTTTGGTGTCCATAAAACAAACCAAAAAAAAAAAAAAAAGGCTGTTAGATAACGTAAAACTGAGTTTTGTCAGCTGGCATCTCCTGACCTTCTGAATTGTAATCACTCTGGTGTCTTCCAGTTAGGCGGAAAGACAACACGCAGAGGATATATGGTCCCTTGTTTCTTCCTGTTTGTTTGAAAAGCCCACAACAGCTAGAACTGGGCAGCTTAGAGCCGTGTGGGTGGCAGGAGCCCGGTGACTTGAGCTACCTGTTATTTTTCCGAGGGAGTATATGAGAGCAGGAAGCTGGCCTTTAGCATCAAGCCATGACAGGTGCCCAACACTCCCCATCTGGGGTGACGGGGAGCCAGGTGGGAGCGTGACTGCTGTGTCAGATGCCTGCTCCTGGGAAAATTTAATGAATTTAAGTAGCAGTTTCTTTACTGAGTAATATGGAGTTACAATTTATTTCATGGTTAAGTTTAAAGTTAAAATTAGCCCTAAGAGCAGACCTGTTCATAGATCTTAAGTTTAGGTTTCAGAGGATTAGCCCAGAGGGGGTAGATTTTGTGTCATATACAAATAAGAGGTGGAAGTCTCTTAGAATGAAATGTCTTTTTTGTTTGTTTATAGATAGGAAAGAAGAAAAGGCAGATTTACAGAGAAAGATCTGTCTTATGCTGGTTCAGTCCCCAAATGGCCACCAACAGCCAAAGCTAAGCCAATCTAAAGCCGGAACCTCTTCAGGGTCTCCCACATGTGTGCAGAGTCCTGAGGCTTTGGGCCATGCTATACTACTTTCCCAAGCCTCAAACAGGAATTTGGATGGGAAGCGCAGCAGCCGGGAAACATTGGCGCCCATATGGGATCCTGGCGCAGGAGGGAGGGGGAATGGGGTTAGCCATCACACTAAGCCCAGAATATCTCTTTTGTACTTTTATATTTCCTATAGATTTCATGGAGTTTGGATAAACTTAGGGCTTCAGTATATTTTGAGTCATTAGCTGTAGAAGGCTGTTGATTTAGCTGTGGTGGATCAGCTCCAGGGTTCAGTTTGCTTTACTTTAAGATGATCTTATTTCAGGATAAGGAAGACTGTCTTAAAACCTAAGATGCATGTCCCCCTTAAAACGTTGATGAGTCTGGGCCCAGTGCAGTGGCTTAGTGCCTAAATTTTGCCCCACAAGTGACAGGAACCCATATGGTGCCAATTCATGTCCCAGCAAGTCCTGGAGGGTGGCTCAAGACCTTGGGACAGCTCCAGCTCTTGGGGCTACTTGGGAGTGAACCAGTAGATGGAAGGTCTTCCTCTCTGTATGTTTGAATTTATCAGTATTAACAACTTTGTCAGTGAAGCAGCCCCTGGAATGAGAAAAGATGTTTACCCATTATAACTGTGATAGGGGGTTGAAGTCTAAAATACTTACCAAAATATGTTAAAATTTATGACATACTAATGTTTTGTATGTATTATATGACTTTTCTCAGTGAGAAAATAGTGAGACAAGTTGCAGAGTTACGCTGTAAAGAATTCTGCTTCGTTAGACATCTTCGTGCATGGTAACAACAGAAGACACAATTCAGAAGTGTACCAAGAACTTGGCATAGGCGGCAGTTCTCCAGACAGTGTATCTGAGTGGTCAGTGAGGCATGAAAAAAGCTGCTCAGCTTCATTAGTCACTGGGGGATGCACGCCTAAACCATGGTTCAGTACCGTACCTTGCCCGTTAATAGGCGTGACATTTTTTTAAGTAGACTTGAACACCAGCTGTTTTTGAGGATGTAGAAAAATTAGAACCCTGTACATTATTTATGAGAAGTATAGAGTGATAGAGCTGCTGTGTAACCTGGGTGTCGTCACAGAATAAAACAGTTACCTTTGGAGTCGGACTGCTTCATTCCCAGAGCTGTGTTCAGTTGGAAGGTGAAGTAGTACACAATATACATCATTTATGGTGGCAGTCATTTGTAGCAGACACTAGATGGAAGGAATCCATGTGTGCATATTATGGGAAAGGGTGAAAATTGTTGCATGCACACAGCATTAGTCAACCGTTGAAGACGCGGAGCTGTGGTAACATGCTACAGCCTGGGTGAGCCTTGGAGTAAGTCAGGCTCTCCAGAACAAGCCTGTGTGTGGTTTCAGGTAAATGATGCTCTTGGAAAGGCTGAATTCCAGGAGACAGGAGGAGCTGGTGCTGCACGGGGAGTGGGGTTCAGTGAGTAAGGTTAAAATGCGAGCTCATTCTGGCCCTTGAGGTTAGTGACGGTTGATGTTGGGATGTGGGGAAACCAGATGGTTGGGAGTGTGTACGTTGGTAATGATCGTGTGGAGGTCATGTTATCAATCTGTTGGAAGTTACAACATGCTAATGTTTTATATGCTTACTCTGACTTCTCAGATGAATGAGACTGGGTTGCAAAGTTACAAAATGCTATAAAGCAACAATAGTGCATTTATGTACATTCATCAATACATAGGACAAATGATTAAAGATATTCCTGATATGTATTTTAGAGTAAATTGAAATGAAAGTTATAGTAACATGTAGAGGGGGTTGTGATTGTCTTGGTGTTTTTCCTGCTACGTTTGCATACCCTGCTCTCCCTGGTAGCACGCTCTGCAAGTGCTGTGTGACACCCCCGCTGAGGGGAGGGAGCAGCTTGAGCTTCATGTGCCCTGTTCAGGGCTGTGTGCTGGCAGAGCACGTTAGAAAAGTGCGGCTTACACTGTATCACAAGGCAGTTAATTCAGCATGCCAGAAAAATAGATAAATGTGGGTGTTGGTGCATACTTTTTGGGGCAACTTAAAGGGGTGCTTATAATTTACAGTTGAGTGAACACTGTGTTCAATCTGGGAAAGCTAGGTTGCAGTGCATGTACTATTTGGCAGCTTACACCCCCTTCTGGCAGTAATCTCAAATACATCAGCAGTTCAGAATTACTAACAAAGAAAGGAAAGCAGTTTTCTATCTTCAGATAATAGGGCAGAGCCTGTCTGTCAGAAGATGTCAGAATTGGGAAAATAAGTTAAATATCTTCAAAAGAGATTAAATATTCCAAAAATGACTGTAAAGGCACACACGGAGAATTAAAATGCTAGAGCCAAAAATGGATAGCATTTTATTATTCAATGAAAGAATTTCCTAGAAATCACTGAAGTTTCTCAAATGTTTGGAAAAGTTTGTATTAGGAGAATGGGAATAGAGTGTGATATTATTTTTTATTTTTGTTTATTTTATTAGAAAGATATTTATAGAGCTGGAGAGACAGAAAAATCTGGGTCACTCTGCAATGAGCACAAGGGCTTTAGCTGAGCCAGTCCAAAATCGGGAGCTTCCCTCGGGTCTCCCGTGTGGATGCAGGAGCCCCAGGCTTTAGGCCATTCTCCATTGTTTCTCAGATCATAAGCAGAGAGCTGGATGGAAAGTGGAGCAGCTGGGACAAAAACTGGTGCCATATAAGGTGCCAGTTCCTTTTTATTATTAAAATTTTTATTTTATCATTGGGGGAGGGGTGCTGGCTCTTGTAGGCAGAAGATCAGCCATTGTGCCAGCTGAGTGTAATATTCTTTTTTTTTTTTTAAGATTATTTATTTATTTATTGGAAAGGCGGAGAGACAGAGAGGAAGATCTTGCGTCCGATGACTCACTCCCCAAGTGAGCACAACGGCCGATGCTATGCCGATCCGAAGCTTTCCCAGGCCACATGCAGGGAGCTGGATGGGAAGTGGGGCTGCCGGGATTAGAACTGGCTCCCATATGGGATCCCGGGTGTGCAAGGCGAGGACCTTTAACCACTGCACCATCACGCTGGGCCCTGAGTGTAATATTCTTAAAGTGTAGAAGAGCTGAGTTTAGTCTTCTAGTGCAAATACTGTGTCCATTTTCTTAAACAAGCTCATTCTTTATTTTCAAAAATCCAGGTTTTCTTTGTGTTCGATTTGTGCAAATACTGATTAAATTTGTTTGAAGCAGTGGACTTTTATTTGTGTGTAAGGTAGTGGAGGATAAGATGAGCTAGTCATTGTCTTTCTGTTGACAACCTCGTGCTTTCCTCCCCCCGGCATCAGTTTTGAGCATGTGTAGAGGCACCCGTGCCTTTGTTGCAGAAGCAGACAGGTCACAGATACCTACCAATGACCATTCCTGAAGGAATGAGCTCATTGTAGTAGGTGAGAGAGAAAATAATCATTGTTAACACAGTAAAAAAGACTCTGGTCCAGGTGATGGGCTTGTCAGGGCTCCCTGAGACCACAAGATTGGTACCGAATCAGCATCTTAAGTGAAAAACTGAGAAACAAACATGAGCACTCAGAGTGGCCTTGTTCTGTGTCACAGTTGGTTACTGATGACCAGTTAGGAATATCTTTGAGGCATGTAATATAAAAACTTTTAAATAACCTTCAGCGACCTTTGGAAGGGTGCTTGTGTGGAGCAGGGGGTCAGGCTGTGAAAAATAGTATTCAGAGGTCCTGTCTGGGAAAGTCCTCACTTTCTTTGCTATTGTTCCTAGGCCTTTGAGTATTTTGTATTATGCTGTCTGCTGTATTTTAAAATGTTTGAATTCTATCTGTTTTTAAACTTAAACATGGGGTTTCATAGACTTGCTAGTTTTTTTTTCCAAATCAGTGAGAGGTGCCAGAGTCACACCTTGAACTTTGGCAGTTGTCATTACCAGCTTGTCAGATGCTGCAGGAGTGCTATCAGGACTTGGCTTCCACATTGCATCTCCATGAAAAATTTGAAGTGGAATCTTAGAAATAATCTGTTTTCTTTGGGTGTTTTCTGGTTCTTGTAATTCCATGTCTGGCGTATGTTTGCTAGTGGAAGGGGTCTTTTTAGTGCTGCTCATCACAAACAGATAATTCAAGATTTCTTGGAATCTTACCCAGGGGAACTTCTATAGTTCTGAAGTGAACTCTGCTCTGCAGTGACCACTCATGTTGATCCTGATTTGTATATTAAGGCCATTGTCCTGCATAGGTCTGTTGTTATCTATGGTCGTAACTTTTTCTTCCACCTTCTTCCTTGTTTTCTGAGACACATACATTTAGTTGTATATGATTAACAGAGGCTGTTTGATTGAATGTGACTGAGGCAGCATTTACAGTAGGCAGTTTCATGCCAGACATGGATATAGATGGGCAGGTCATGTGACTTTGTTCGAGATACTTGCACACTTGATTTTTGTTCTGCTTTGCCAAACTTGGGTAGTTTTTTTCAGCCATATTGTCCTTTTGGTTTAGAGTCTGCACCAGGAGACAAGTCAATACCACATTCTTGCATAACTCCTTCCACATCTTCTGCCTCCGGACTGAATCCCACTTCTGCACCTCCAACATCAGCTTCAGCCGTCCCTGTGTCTCCTGTCCCACAGTCCCCAATACCTCCATTACTGCAGGACCCAAATCTGCTTAGACAGCTGCTTCCTGCACTGCAAGCCACACTGCAGCTTAATAATTCTAATGTGGATATATCCAAAATAAATGAAGGTAAGTTTTCATGGTCGCAGTGGGGAGAGCTCCCATCCAGCTGGTTTATTTAGCAAATGACTTGCAATGACACCCAAGCCAGCAGAAAACCAGAGCTGGGGACTCAATTCATGTCTCCCCTGTGGGTGTTAGGGACCCAAGTACCTGATCCATCACCTGCTGCCTTTCAGCAAGATAGAAAGTTTTTAGGAGTTGTACATTTTTATTGGAAAGTCACATATACAGAGAGGAAGAGGAGAAACAGAAAAATGTCTTCCAACCGTTAACTCACTCCCCAAGCGGCTGCAGTGGTTGCTGTATGATCCGAAGCCAGGAACTAGGAGCTTCTTCCAGGTCTCCCACCTGGATGCAGAGTCACAAGCCCTTGGGCCGCCCTTGACTGCCTCTCCAGACCACAGGCAGGGAGCTGGATGGGAAACGGAGCTGCCAGGACACGAACCTGTGCCTATATGGGATCCTGGCATGTGCAAGGCGAGGACATTAGTCACTAGGCTACTGCACAGGGCCCAGGAAGCTAGAATTTAAAACAGAGCTGGAACTCAAAACCCAGACCCCATAGTTAAAAAAAGAAAGTTTAGAGTTTGCAAAATTATGTAGTTTGTAAAATCTGATTGGTTCTGTTTTTTTTTTTTCTCTCTCTTTCCAAATTCATGTTTGAACTTTTTGTAATTCTGTTATTTGTATCCCTGTAGTTTAAAGCAGTCGACATGTGGTTAGGCTACTGTTCCTTAAACTTCCGGTATATTTTTCAAGACTTACTGTGTATGTGGAGATTACTAAGAAATCAAGAGTTCTGTAAGATACCTGAGTCATTTTCTGAAGTAGCTAGGGTCCTGGATAACATTTTACTATTTCCCCTGGTTAGTTGCGTTGTTTAAGTCTGGCCTGCTTTTCAATAGGCCATTAAAGAATTCTTAAGAAAAAATGGATATAGTTTCAATTTCAGAACCATTTGAATTCATACATGGAATCCTGGTCACATTGCAAAACTATGTGGGGAATGATGAATTTCTGTTTGCATATGTTTTCATATACTATATTTAACAGTGGGGTAACACAGTTGAATTTTTAATCCCCAAAATAGCTGGTTGGTTGATCATTGGTCCTTTGCTGTTATTCTCAACTCTGAAGTACCAGCTTTTTGTTGTTATTTGAAAGGTAGTTTTTAGAGAGAAAGCTTGCATCATTGGTTCACTCCCCACAAGGCCACAATGGCTGGATATGGTTTTGTCTCAAACCAGGAGCTTCTTCCAGGCCCCTCTTCCGCTGCTTTGTCAGGGGTCCCTTCTCTGCTGCTGTTTCAGGCTATTAACGGGGAGCTGGGTCAAAGCAGAGCAGCCAGGATTACAACCTGCGCCCATGTGGGACACTGGCACTGCAGGTGGAGGCTTTAACTGTACATGGTAATTTCTTTGTGTAAAGAAAACTTTTGGTGAACTTACGTTTCTTTTTCTCGTTCTCATATTATTTTGAATCCTTTCCACATTTTTTTAGAAGATTTATTTGCTTTTATTAGAAAGACAGGTAAAATTCACAGAGAAAAGGAGAGGCAGAGAGAAAGATCTTCATCTGCTGATTGACTCCTGAAGTGGCCGCAATGACCAGAGCTTAGCGTATCCAGAGCCAGGAGCTTCTTCCAGGTTTTCCATGCCTGGTGAGGGTCCTAAGGCTTTGAGCCATCTCTTCTGCTTTCCCAGGGCATAAGCAGAGAGCTGGAAGGGAAGTGGAGCAGCTGGGGAATGAACTGGCCCTATGTGGGATATAAAGTGGACCCAAATCTGCTTAGACAGCTGCTTCCTGTGCTGCAAGCCACACTGCAGCTTAATAATTCTAATGTGGATATGAGGTGATTTAGCCGTTGAGCCATTGCACTGAACCCCCCAAAGAGGTTTATTTTGTTACTTGAAACACATAGAGACAGAGATCTTCTGTATGCTGATTTACTCCCCAAATGGCTGAAATAGCCATACTTGGCCACATTGAATCCAGAAGCCATGAATTGTGTCCTGGTATCCCATGTGGAGGACAGGAGCCTGCTGCTTAAGCTACCACTCACTGTTGCCTTGCTAAGCAACGTTAGCAAGAAACTCGATCAGAAGCAGAGTAGCCAGCACTTGGCGCCTGTGCTCTGATATGGGATCTAACATGCCAAATAGCAATCCCGCGCCTTAGCCCTGGGCCCCATTTTTAAATCTTGATTGCATTTACTCTTTCCTCTAGTGTTGCTTCATTTTGTTTTTTAAAGATTCGTTTTGTGTATTTGAAAGGTAGAGTTACCAGAGCTATTTGTCCCAAGCGGCCACGGCACCTCGGTTGGAATGGGCCAAAGCCAGGAGCCTGTAGCTCCATTCATTACTCCTGTAGAGCCACTCGCTGGGGCAAGCACGCTGGGGCAAGCACGCTTGCAGGGAGCTGGATCGGAAGCAGAACAGCCGGGACTCTGACCATTCCCCCTTTTCTAGCTTACTATTTTGAGAGTTGCGGTTGTCAACAGTTTTACCGTGTCCTCTTGGGGTTTTCAGATTGTTACCCACACTGTGTTAAGTCTCTGAACTTAGAAGATCATGTTTTTAGTTCTTACAGCAGCTGTGACCCAAGCTTCTCTGCAGTCCATAATTCATAAGTTTCTTACCGCTGGACCATCTGCTTTCAACTTAACCTCTCTGATCTCGCAAGCTGCACAGCTCTCAACACAAGGTATCCATGTTTTTATTCATCTCCACACTTGTTTTGTTTATCTATGATTTCTTTTAGTTGGTTTTTAAGAGTGTTTTACCCCAAACATGAAGGTAAACTTTGACAGGCCCTCAGTGTTTGTGAAACACTGTTACATACTTGAATTGAACTTTCATTCAGGTTCATGTTGGAGGTTTAGTTTGTTTGTTTGTTTTTTTTTTTTTTTCAGAGGCAGAGACAAAGGGTGTCTGTCCATTGCTTTACTCTCTAAATGCTTGTAACAGTTGGGACTTGTAACCAACCAAAAACCAGGAGCCAGGAACTTCCTGCAGATCTCCCGTGTGGGTGTCAGGGATGCTGTGTTTGGCCCCTCTTCTGCTGCTGGGCCAAGCATGCCAACCTCGGGTGCTAATGTTGCAGGCAGTGACTTGACCTGAGTGACATGACGACGCCTGTCCTGATGTTGGATAGCGTGTGGTGATGTGCCATGGAGCTATGTGCAGTGTTGACCTTGGATTAACTTTTCCTGGTCAAGTAGGACAACACAGTGGCTTTGGAAAGCCCTCTGGCTGAGCTGTGAGGCGGAGACTGAGGCAGTGCCTGAGCAAGATGAGGGTGCTGAGGGGCTGCTGGGTAAGAGTTGATGCCAGCTCAGCCTTCTGCTCTTAGACTCTGTGCTGGGCCTGCCCATCTCTAACATATAGGTCCCAGGGGATGCCAGGTTCTGTCTGCTTGGCTGAATGCTCCTTGTGTGGGGTACATAGCATAATTCAGAGATTGTCACACAGTGCACACAGGTTGGATTATTCCAAATCATTTCTCTTACAGCCCAGCCATCTAACCAGTCTCCAATGTCTTTAACATCTGATGCGTCATCCCCAAGATCCTACGTGTCTCCAAGAATAAGCACACCTCAGACCAACCCAGTCCCTATCAAACCTCTCATTAGTACTCCTCCTGTTTCATCCCAGCCAAAGGTAGGTCACGTTTAAGGGAAGTGGGCCAAAGAACCCAGGTTACTTGGGAAATAGTTATTTAATTAATGGAATTTATATCACAAACAAAACTGCCTGAGAATGAAGTAGTGTTGAAATGTTGGAATGAATGACAGGCGAGGGAAGAGAGCAGAACGGGATTTTACAGAAAGACAGAAAAATCTTCTATCTGTTGGTTCACTACTCAAATGACCACAATGGCCAGAGCTGAGCCAGTTCAAAGCTAGGAACCAAGAGCTGCTTCTGTGTCTCCCACATGGGTTCAGGGTCCCAAGGCTTTGGACCGTCCTCCACTGCTTCCCCAGGGAGTGGGAACAGAGTTAAAGTAGCTAGGACACAAACCAGTGGCCACATGGTGTGGGTGCTGGCACTTGCAGGTGGAAGATTAGAAATTGAGTCATCCTCCTGTGCCTGAATCTGTTCCTTTGATATAAGCCCTTGTTCTGTTCCCATTTGGCTGTGGGATTGATGGCAGGGAGCAGGAGAAAGCAGATGTGCTAACATGAGAGCTCACTGGTGTGTAACTTCTGTAATACTTCTATTCCAAAAATAGCTCTCAAGATGAAAGTTTCTCTGTTAGGATTTTTATGCATGCATACATACATTTGATTTTTACATCATAGGTTGCCTGTTTGCAAAAAGAAAGTTCAACTTTCTGTTTCAGTCTGCTGTTTGTGGCAGAGCCTGAATTTGAAAATTCAGCATTTCTCAGTTCAGTGGCCTTTATAACATGCTGTGTTGCTTGTGTTTGTCGAAGCAAGAGCTTATTTGGATGACGACTCAGAACACAGGAGAGCGTAGGTCTGCTCTTGCTGCACAGTTAAGGGCCTTCTAGCACCACCATTGGATTTTGTAGCACATCAGTGGGATCTTGGCCAGAACTCATCAATTGTCTCATCCCACCCACTCCCCCTTTTTTTAAAAAAGTTTTTTTTTTTTTTTAACCTGAAAAGGTAGTGTTCTGAAAATGGCAGGAGAGAGGCCGAGATCTTGTTTCTGCTGATTCCCTCCGCAGATGGCCACCATGGTCTGTGGGGGCTGAGCCAGGCGGAAGCCAGGAGTGTCGAACTCCATCTGCTCCGCCCCGTGGGAGTAGGAAGGAGTCCAAGGCTCAGGCCATCTTCCACTGTCCTTCCTAGGCGTTGAATCGGATTTGGAGCAGCCAGGTTGGAGCTCCCCTTTGCACACCAGTGGTAAAGGTTAAGAGGTCTGGCATTCAGGTCACACAGATTGTGGGTTTTTTGGCTTTTAACGCTCTTAATGATAAAATGAGTGGAAGTTCTTTTTAGTATTTGTGAAACCATAGCTCTTTCAAACTTTTTAATGACAAAGAATACTCATTATTAAGCAAACATCTGAAAAATAAAACACACTGAGGTATCTTTTTTAAAAGGTTGCTAACTGTCTCTTTGGTCTTCTTGTTTTTACCCGTTGCTATCCTTCCTTGGCCATTGATCTGAACATGGGTTCAGCTCAGTCTGGATTGATTTTAAAAATCAACAACTGTTAATATTTGACTGCATTTTGGTGAGGGAAAAGTTAAAAATGTGAGTTTATCGGTAGTGACCCTTACTTCAAGGTCTATTTTGAGGATAATATAGTGCCTAAAAGTTATTTAAAAAAAAAAAAGAGGTAGTAGGTTTTCTGAGAAAATCACCATGTCAGATCCTATAAGCAGTGGCTGTCAGCACTTCACATTCAAAATTCTCTTTCAAGTTCTTTTTAAGAGTACTTGAACATTTCAACTTATTTTTAGATTGGAATGAACAGGAAATACTCAGAGGTGTCATGGCTTTGCAGATTGCTTTGGCAGAATGCTTTTACAACAAAGCCCTACTGTTGTTGGAAGTGACTTGATCATAGAAGGCTCCCTCTGCCTTGCCCTGTTACTTAATTTGGGACTTTTATTTAGTTTTAAATATTTCTTTTTTAACTGGGAGATTTTCAGAGAGATACAGAAAGATCTTTGCTCTCCATGCTGCTACAACGGCTAGAGCTGAGCTGATCTGAAGCCAGGAGCTTCTTCCAGATCTCCTACACGGTACAGGGCCCAAAGCTTTGACCCATCTGCTGCTTTCCCAAGCCACAAGCAGGGAGCTAGATGGGAAATAGGGCAGCCTGGATGCAAACCGGTCACCCATATGGGATCCTGGTACATGCAATACAGATTTTAGCCACTGAGCCATCATGTTGGGCCCTAAAAGTCCAGATTTTTAGAGTATTTAAGATTGTTAGCATGTTTTCAGGACAAGATGTGGATTGGATTTGGGAACCTAGCCTTAATAGATGTCCTTTTCATTGTGAAATAGAATTAAGACAACTGCTGAAAACACTGGAGCATAGATAACAGGAGAGTTTGATGGGTAGCAGTGGACCTTTGCTTTGCTCTGATTGCGATGTGCCTGTGTGACAAGCCCATTTCAGCAGATGTTGCCGTTGCAGGTTAGTACTCCAGTAGTGAAGCAAGGCCCAGTGTCGCAGTCAGCCCCACAGCAGCCTGTGACTGCTGAGAAGCTGCAGGGCCATGAGCCTGCCTCTCCCAGAAGTCTTCAGCGCTCAAGGTAGGCTGCATTCCCTCCTAACGTGATGCACTGTCCTGTTGTGCTGCAGTTATGTGTGTGACAGAACCTTGAGACAAGTCATGACAGTGTAGGGGCAAATGCTATGCACAGCAAAGACGATGCTGTCTCCAGGAAAGTGGTCGGAATTATTTCAAAGCAACTGGCTCTTTTAAAAAGGAAAAAAATAATGAAATAAGTAGAATTGCGTCACGTGCAAAACTGACGTGATTTTATGGTACTTTGGAATTAGACCATTTTTTAACCTCATAGCATTTTTCATTGAGTGTGTTGATGAATCTAAAAATGACATGCGTCATCTTGGGCCGATATCCCGGTTGCTATAAGTCAGGCTTTCCTAATGGCTTTGGTTTTCAGTTTAGTGTTGTCTGATTGGTTTCAGATTAGTGTAGTATTGGGTTGTCACTTGATGTGTTCATGAATAGTCAGCTTTAAATATAACATTGATTAATTTTCTGATTTTTATTTTATGCCATTAAGTAGCAGAATAATTCAACTGTTGTTTTTATTATTTTCCAAACAAGCATTTCAGAACTTACACATCTAAATGAGAGTTGTTCCCTTTGGAATTCTCAGCTTGGCAAGCTGTCTGCTCACCCCGGCAGTGTTGCCATTGCTAAGGGCATTTCTGGGGAAATCTCATTTTAAGAGTCCTTGGAGGCTGCAGTAGTACTTTACATACCCTCAATGGTAAAAGCTCTTCATTCTTTGGGGAGATTTGGCTTTTGAAAACTAACTGAAATTCACCCAGAGCCAAGTCATTTGAAGCAGATAGGAAATGAGGTTGGGTGATCAGATTTTCGATTCACATAACCATATCCCCAAACCATCTGTTATTTTAAAGAAGATAACCAATCTCAGAGGGTTGATTTCTGGGTCTGCTTTGCCACTATACCCCTTGAGTGGCACCTAAAAAAATGCCTGTTTTCTGCTTTACAATATTCAACTTGTTCTGCTGTTGAACCAAAATGTGTGTTTCGTCCCTGCTTGTCTGGCCATCCTGGTACCTAATCCTCAGATATGTCTCAGTATTCCTACTGGAATGTGTGGTGAGCTGTAAGTGGGCTCAGCTCTGGTCCTTGGGGGGAGAGAAGCGGCATTGCACTGGTGCTGACAGTGGAGTGAATTGTGCCAGCCCCAGTCCAAGTGTATTGGAGAGCATGAGATAAAAATCTGCTTTCGGTTGCTAAATTTGTTTATTTGGTATTGAAGTAACATTTTTCTTAGGATTCTGGATATCTTTAAATTAATGGAAGATATAAACGCAATTTCTAGGATACCTAGAAACAACTTAGATGCTCACTTCTGTGTTTTAGTAGCCAGAGGAGTCCTTCGCCTGGTCCAAATCACAGTTCGAGTAGTAATGCGTCGAATGCAGCAGTTGTACCCCAGAACTCATCTGCCCGGCCTGCGTGTTCATTAACACCCACGCTAGCAGCGCACTTCAATGAAAGTCTCATCAAACACGTCCAAGGGTGGCCTGCAGACCATGCCGAGAAGCAGGTACGTGCTGTGACTCTTGCCCAGTCTTCATCTTTGCTGATGAGCCACATGGAAGTCACCTCTGCTCTGATCTGCACCACTCAGCTCCAGCTGTATGCTTGTTTCTGACCCAGAATTGTTTGGGAAGCTGCACAACCGTGAGCCCTTCATCCTAATGCTGTGCTGTCCTGTCCTGACAGGGAGATCTCAGAATCACTGCTTTCTATGATTAGAGGCAGGTGGTGGCGCTGGTGTGTGTGTGTGTGTGTGTGTGTGTGTGTGTGTGTGGTTTTTTGGGGGTGATTTGTTTAGAAGAGTTATGGAGAGAATCTTCCATCTGCCACTTCACACCACAAATAGCTTCAACAGCCAGAGCCAAATTGGTGTGAATCTGGGAGCCAGGAGTTTCTTTTGGGTCTTCCACTTGGATGCGGGGGCACACATTTGGGCCATCCTCCATTGCTTTCACAGTTCACTGTCAGAGAGCTGGATTGCAAATGGAGCAACCAGGGCCCAGTGTCTATATGTGTGCTAGTGCCACAAGCAGAAGCTTAAGCTATGCCACAGCACACTACCCCAAGAGGAGGTTTCTTGAAATCCTTCCCCAAGCTGCTCGCCCCAGATTTTAGCAGAAAGAATTAATCTGCAGTAAATTCTGTTTAGGAACTTCATGTTTCATTTCTATTAATGTCTTCCTTGTGGCTTGAATCGACAGGCATCAAGATTGCGTGAAGAAGCCCATAATATGGGAAGCGTTCATATGTCAGAAATCTGTACTGAGCTAAAAAACTTACGATCTTTAGTCAGAGTCTGTGAAATCCAAGCAACCTTGCGTGAGCAAAGGTAGGTTTTTTGGTGAGATTTTGACCTTTCGTAGAATAGGCAGTGCTTCTCATGCCTATCAAAAGTTGAGCACAAACTGACCATTGTACAAGTCACTGGGTTAAAGGCAAGTTTACCCTTGTTAATCATGCAGACAAAATATTGGTAAGCACATAATAGGAGTTCCTAGTAAACTTTTTAAAGCGAGGGGTTTTTTTAAATCAATTTATGAATATCTGGAATTACTTTTTGAATATCAGTTGCTATTCTTTAGCTGTAGAATTCTGAAAATAATTCTGACATACATGAAGCTTTGTTTTTGGCTTTTAGGAAATTTTTCTGTGTATCACTGCATCTTAGGAAGAAAGTGTACACACCAAATGTCAAGCCAGTGTGCGATCCACCCCATAGGTACTGAGTGAAGTCAGTCACGGGGGAGGGCAGACCTGATGCAGTGCATGGAAGTCTAATCCAGGTGTGGGGTTTTATGTTCCTCCATCTGCCCTGGGGTTGGGTTTGATGGCACCAGAGACTTAAGCTCCTGACTGTTCACTTCGGATCCTGGGCTCTGCATCCCTGTGGGACACCAGGATGAAGTGCATGTTCCTGGCTTTGCATGGCCCAGCCATCTGGAGAAAATAGGGGTTTTATCCCAGCTGTAAGATAAGGTGGCTTTTTAATAAATGTAATAGTGTGTAGAACAAAGCATTTTAAAGCGGTTCTTAAGTATTTATATATTTGAAAGGCAGAGTGACTGCACAGACAAGGGAGACAGGTGCTGATCCTATGGACATTTTGTCCACTGATTGACGCCCAGTGGCCATCATACCAAGGGTGGGCCAAAGCCATGAGTCCTCCTGTGTGGTTGCCAAGGGACCACGTGTTTGACCATCGCCATCCACGGCCTTTGCAGGTGCCTTAGCAGGGCTGAAAGCGAAACAGGCAGATCTCTAACTGGCACTCCCTTATCGAACACAGGTGGTCGTAGCCTGCTGTCAGCAGTTATTTTTATATTAAAGGTAAAAATTGAGACATTACTAAGAACTAAGAAATGTTCTAAATGTCATCTTCCTGATGCTTTAATATGTGTCATATATCCTTAATTATTTTGCCTTAACTGTAATAAATTTTAAATTATTTTACTTATTATTTTAGATTATCACTCATTAGCCTCTGTGTGAATACTTGTAACATGTATATCCACCATAGACACTGATGCCTGATTTTCTTTTTTCAGGATACTATTTTTGAGACAACAAATTAAAGAACTTGAAAAGCTAAAAAATCAAAATTCCTTCATGGTGTGAAGATGTGAATAATTGCACATGGTTTTTGAGATGGGAACTGTACATCTGTGGCCCAATCTTAACATTTTTGAGCTGCATTTAAGTAGACTTTGGACCGTTAAGCTGGGCAAAGAAAATGACAAGGGGCTGGGGTCTGTGTGCATCAATTCAGGAGAAAGACACAAGGTTGATTTGTAAAACCCTTGAAATGTAGATTTCTTGTAGATGTATTCTTCACGTTGTAAATATGTTTTGTAGAGTGAAGCCATGGGAAGCCATGTGTAACAGAGCTTAGACATCCAGAACTAATCAATGCTGAGGTGGCTAAATACCTAGCCTTTTACATGTAAACCTGTCTGCAAAATTAGCTTTTTTTAAAAAAAGGAAAAAAAAAAGAATTTTGGGGGGGCTAATTTATCATTCAGAAATCTTGGCATTTTCAAAAATTCAGTGCAAGCGCCAGGCGATATGTGTCCAAGGATACGATTTTGAACCATCCAGGCAGTGTACAAAACACCATTGAACACCGTGTCCACACCTGCACCTGACCGAGAGCAGTGCTTCTCCATTTGTTTGCAGAGAAATGTTTTCAGTTCCCGTGTGTCCATTCCCTCGGAAACCCTGACCGGCTTTGATCCATTTTGTAGGGCTTCTCTTTTCTCCTTTCTTAAGGCACTGTTGCTATGGCACTTTTCTATAACCTTTTCATTCCTGTGTACAGTAGCTTAAACAACTGCAGTGATTGAGCATAACCCACTTGTTTGTATAAATTATTGAAATCCATTTGCACCCTCTAAGAATGGACTTGAAAGTACTGCTGGGCATGTGTGCTCCAAGTGCAGTGATTGCTCAAACACAAGGAAATGGGCCTGATGAACGTGGTGTGGGAGGGGAAAGAGGAAACGAAGCTAGGCGGATGTGAATTGTATCTGTTGTAATAAACATGTTCAAACAAACAAATTGTTACTTTTCTTTTCCTTTGGTCAATGCATATTACAATTTGAACTACCTGGGGTTTCTTTATCAGAAATATTCTTGTTGAATATTTATACTTAATTGAAACAGTTCCGAAAGGGAGGTTTTGTTTAAAGCATATTAACAGAAAGTGGTGTGTAAGACATTTGATGAAATATGAAGTTCAACAAGAATGATTAAGTCACTTCCCAAGTGGTTGTCATTTTAAGCCCTGGTTTACCTGTCTTGCTCTTCTGACATTTCATGTTGAAGGATGTCTGTGTTGTGGCTGACTGTTCAAGTCTGGTGCTGACTGCTGTTCTTAGCCATCACAAAATGCTCAATTTGTGTAATTGGAGCTTCCTGCTGTTTTCGGAAAATGGTGGGGGAGCTCAGCTTTGTATATTGTTTCCTAAAGTATATTAAAATAAAAAAGAAACTATTGCTACTATAAAATTGTCTTGGCTTGCTCTTTCCTTTGCTGAGATGTTAGTTTGTGTGCAGCAAGGTCTTTGGGCTGCTGGATGTTAGCACCTGCTTGGGAGGCTGTTGTTTCCCTGTCGGGACAAATGACCTAGCTCCACTGCCAGCACCACCTCCCTTGTTCTGCTGTGTTAAAGGTTTGGAAGGTAATAGCAGCACTTCTTGACAAATTGTAAGCAGTAGTACTCTGGGTGTTTTACAAAATACAGAAAATGTTGTTGTGTAACTGAGGTTTGTTTTCATTGAAAAGGCAGATTTACAAAGAAGGAGAGACAGACAGATCTTCGATCCTCTGGTTCACTCCCCAAGTGGCCACAACAGCCAGAGCTGAGCCAGTCTGGAACCAAAACCCTGAAGCCTTTCCAGGTCTCCCAGGCAGGGTCCCAAGGCTTTGGGCTTTCCTCCACTGCTTTCCCAGGCCACAAGCAGGGAGCTGGGTGGGAAGCGGAACAACTAGGACACAAACCAGAGCCAAGTGGGAATCACAGCGCTTATAAGGGGAGGGTTAGCCAGTTGAGCCATCCTGTCAGGCCCAACAGTTTGCTTTAAAGAAACCAGATTATCTCCTTCGCAACCATATGAACTAGTAAAGTCTTGAGGAATGAGGTGTTTAAAACCTCGCAATGAATGGTTATCCCTTTCATAAATCCTGCTTTTGAAAGACTTGTGAGAGGGAGTGGAATATTAGCAAGTCCCTTCACCCGGCGCTGCAGGGTTTAAGCTCCTGTTTTTGATGCTTTGGATGCAGATTTCAATGGCTGTGAGTGTGACAGCAATCTTGTTTATGTACAGGAGCATAAAAAAAACTTGAAATTAATACTTTCTGGCGGCCTTATGCAGCTTTCAGAAATGTTTTGAAACAGTCTCAGAATACTGCTTCCCACGGTGGAAGCTTAAGTCAGAAGCAGAACTGGGGCTCAGCACGATGGCTCAGTGGTTAAGGTCCTCGCCTTGCACACCCGGGATCCCATATGGGTGCCGGTTCTAATCCCGGCGGCCCCACTTCCCATCCAGCTCCCTGCCTGTGGCCTGGGAAAGCAGTCAAGGACGGCCCAAGGCTTTGGGACCCTGCACCCGCGTGGGAGACCTGGAAGAGGCTCCTGGCTTCGGATCGGCATAGTATCGGCCGTTGCGCCACTAGTTCATTCACTGAATACCCTCAATTAGCCCAGCCAATGTTGGCAGCCAGGACTTTCATCCTGGTATCCTTTACAGGTGGCAGGAATTCAAGCACCATCGTTCACCTTTTTGAGCACCCAACTGGACAACCAGGCACTCCAAGGTAGGCATGCTGGTGTTACAGGTGGCTGCCAAGCTGCACTGTGCCACACCACCCATCATTGTCACTGTGACCCTGGGTCAGCATTATGCTGAAACCAGCACACAGGCGCAGTGACCCCTCTCTCCATCTCCCTCTATCAGCACTGTGCCACGCCTCCAGCCCACTGATACCTGATTCCATTTTGTTCCATGGCACTTTGTAGACACTGTGCCACACCGCACCTGACCCATTCTCCTGCATGGCACTTTGTATGCTGTGCCAATCTCCCAGCCCATTGACAACTGGCTTCATCTCCACAGCTCTTGATCAGTACACTATGCCACACCGCCAGTCCATTGGCATAGTGACCCAGTTCTCTTCATCAGCAGTGTGCCACACTGGCAGCACACTGGCAGCTACCCCGTTCTCCTCCACAGCAGTTGAGCAACAACTGGAGAACCTCTGTGTGCTTGGCTGCCTGGGTGGCCTAGGAGATTTTCATGTTCATGGGCATACTCCAGCTTCTCATCTGGGTCCCGGTGCCCAGTGCGTGATCCAGCAGCATTTGAGCATCCATGCTCCCTGCCCACCTTCCTAACAGGAGCTGTGGAACTCGAAGGAGTGTTTAAAGGCTAAACTTCAGGCCCTGCATGGTAGCCTAGTGGCTAAAATCCTTGCCTTGCAAGTACCAGGATCCCGTATAGGTGCCGGTTTGTATCCCCACTGTTTCACTTCCCTTCTAGCTCCCTGCCTGTGGCCTGGGAAAGCAGTAGAGGATGGCCCAAAGCCTTGGGACCCTGCACCCACGTCAGAGACCCGGAAAAAGCTTGTGGTTCCTGGCTTCGGATCAGCTCAGCTCTGACTGTTGCGGCCACTTGGGGAGTGAACTAGCAGATGGAAGATCTTTCTCTGTCTCTCCTTGTCTCTGTAAATGACTTCCCAGTAAAAATAAATAAATCTTAAATATATATATATACATATATATATATAAACTTTGTCTCCTTCTTGGCCTGATCTGACTCCAGACTGCCTAGCAGACACCTTCGGTGCTCATGATCAACGGTGCCTTTTAGCTCCCAGTCATCTTCCTTGTTCCTGACATTGTGTCCATCCACGTGGCCCTGGAAGACTGGCCGCCTTCCATGGACCAGGTACATGCCAAAGAAGGAGAACAACAACAACAACAAGAAAAAAAAGTTATCTCCAGGCTAATTAACACTGTTCAAATGCATTTGTGATTGATCCAATGGGCTTCGTGCTGCTGGGAATAAATCATGCATTTTTTTTCTTGGCTGGTTTTTACTGCATTAGATCATGTTATTTTAACCCAAGGGCCTCAGGAAGTGCATCGTAAATTGAAACACTCAAATAATGATAACAATAATAATAAAAAGGTATGCGTGTGCTAATTACACGTGCTACACGTGGTAGAGTTCAAGGTTATGTGCCTGCCTGAGCACACAGCGCCCTCCCCTGGGAGCGCCTGGCAGGTGGGAGCAGCCGAGAGGCCATTGTACTCTGCACACCAGTCTGCTCCGGGCAGCTTTGAGAGAAAACACGCCTCATGACGACCCCTCCTTTGTGCTCATTGACTTGTTTGTGTGTTCTACAAATTGATCTTTTGCTGCTGGCCCTGACCCAAGTAGAACAGGCTCGTGTTTGGGACCACTGCTGCGTTGGACCTTGTAGGTGTGCTCAGTGGCAACCCAGGGAATGTGAGCAGGGAGGCAAGCACATCTCAATTTAAAGAGTAAGTCACATGAGGGGTTGACACTGTGGCATAGTAGGGTAAGCTTATGCCTGAGGCCTGGCATCCCATATGGGCTCCAGTTTGTGTCTCGACCGCTTCACTTCCAATCCAGCTCCCTGATTATGTACCTAGAAATGAGTCAAGTCCTTGGGTCCCTGTACCCATGCGGAAGACCTGGAAGAAGCTCCTTGCTGCTGCTTTTAGTTCAGCCCAGCACCAGCCGTTGCAGCCGTTTGGGGGGAGAACCAGCGGACAGAAGACCTCTCTCTATATATCCCTTCTTCTCTCTGTCTAAGTTTGCCTTTCAAACAAATGCACTTTTTTTTCTAAAGTTATAGACAAAAAAAGGAGAGCCATATGGAGAGCTTCCATTGCTGGTTCACTCCCCAGATGTCTGCAACAGCCAGCGCTGCGCCAGGTCGAAGCTAGGAGCAAGCGCTTCACCCAGGTCTTCCCTGTGGGTGGGTGGCATGGACTCAAACATCCGGTGCATTTCCTGCTGTTTTGCCCAGGCCATTACTAGGGAGCTGTAGTGGCCAGGACACAACTACCCCACAGGGGATGCAGGTTTCACAGGCGGCTTTACTGTCACACCACAGCACCGGCTCCTGTAGCTGGGGAGCCTGCTTGTACAAGCCAGCATGGGGTACCTCTGGTTTGGGTGACATCCACCTTTGTCTTCATCCTTGGGGAGCTGGTACCTTGGGACTGGGGTGGTGGCTTCTCACAAGCTGCTTGATTCCTCAGAGGTAAATCTCATATCTTCTCCACCTGACAGAAAAACCAAAACACACTAAAAGGAGGGAAACCGTGGACCCACACAATGGCTCAATTGGCTAATCCTCCATATTCATGCACTGGAATCTCGTGTGAGCTCTAGTTCATGTCCCGGCAGCTCCACTTCCCATCTAGCTCCCTGCTTGTGGCCTGGGAAAGCAGTCGAGGACGGCCCAAAGCCTTGGGATCCTGCACTCATGTGGGAGACCTGGGAGAGGTTCCTGGCTCCTGGCTTAAGATTGGCTCAGCTCTGGCCATTGTGATTACTTGGGAAGTGAACCAATAAATGGAAGATCTTTCTATCAAATCTGCCTTTCCAAAAAAAAAAAAAATCTTCAAAAAGAACAAAAGAGGGAAATCATGCTGGCATCACAGGCTGAGACCTTCACACTCCTGAAGGTTCCCTCTGCAGAGCCGCGGCAGCCACGTGCAGAGAGGGCTCCTGGGACAGGCTCTGTGCTCTGAGCCCGGCCTGCCCATCACCCGGTGAAGGCGTCCTGCCTTCTCATTCTGAAAGGAGAATGGGGAGGCTGGGGGCCATGAGAGGGAGCAGTGAGACGAGAATGGGGAGGCTGGGGGCTGTGTGTGTTAGGGAGCACCACTCCATAAAGTCACCTGTAAAGAGACAGGAATTGGAGAGTGGCATGGTGTAGTGCTGGCACGAACGGGTTCAAGCAGATCCACTGCCCTTTGTCTCTCCAATGGGCTGCGCCCACAGGGCAGGCGTGTCT